AGGAAATAACAAGAAGCTTAAATATAGGGAATTTAACAAGAGCCAAGGATTTTGTGGGTAACTGGGTGTAGGAAGAAGAGCATAGGGAACGTTGACTGTGAATCCTAATGATCTGCTTTGGATACTTGAGAAGGTGCCATTCACTGAGAATCATCACATAGAAGAGGTAGAAGTTTAATTCACTTTCAATTTGTGAGTAATGAGATACTATGCAACATTCAAGGAATATAAGAGAGGCCAAAGTTAAATAGATACAGCTGGGTTTTAGGACACATCCATAAGCCTAGCACTACTTGAGGCTGATGATGGAGGAACACAACTTGCAGGTCACCTTGGACTATAGAGTACAAGTCCAAAAAAATTTTTTTTGAGGAACAGTAACATTTGTTTATAAAGAAAATATCAAGCAAAAAAGTAGGATAACTAGAAATGAATCTTGGGTTATAAAAAACATTCTTCAAATACCACAGGAAGGCTTACTTATTACGTATGAGTTCATTCTTAGGCAGAATGCTAAAAGGTGAGGTACATTAAACATTTTAGGGGAGCCAACCACTGAAGACACAGGTATGATTTTTTCCCTCAAAAATTTTTTTAAAGGGAGTGCTTATATACTTATGATGGCTGAGATTACCAAAGTAGATAATTATCTAGAGCTATTACATAGTGTGGAATTAAAGAAAAATAATGAAACTATCATGGAGAACAAAAAATTAACAAAGAACTGATGATAAACAGTAATAAAGTTTAGGAAGACAATATATTTGTTAGCTTCACATTACTACTATGGGAGACCTCAGAGCGGATATCTATGAAGAAAAAGAGCTTTATTTGGCTCACAGTTCAAATCAAAGCCCAAATAGTTCTATTGGTTTGATCTTCTGGCGAATGCAGCAATCATTGCAGGTGAGTACTGAATTGGGTGCTCACATCTCAAGTCAGAAAGCAAAATGAAAGAAGGGATTATAAAGGATCCTAATATCCCCCTGCAAGGAACACCACCAAAGACCTAAGAACCATAGGCCTCACTTCTTAAAAGTTCATGGTATCTTCCAATAGGGCCATCCTCAGAACCAAACTTTTACAGTTAGTCCTTTAGGGATCATTCACCCAAACTATAATAATAAGGAAACAATTTAAAGAGAGGAAGTTGAAAACAATGTCAAAAAAGCTACATACTGAACAATAATCAGTGCATTGGAAAATATGGAAATCAAAATGTACTTAACCAGAGTAGCCTCAGTAAAGCTCTCAATTCAACATAGGGGTCCTCATGTCATGTCCTACAACTGTGATCCACGTAAAGTGTAGGCTACAGCAATTGTTGATAAAAATCTAACATCAAAGCCTGGCGCTGGTGGCTCACCCCTGTAATCCTAGCTACTCAGGAGGATGAGATCTGAGGATCGCGGTTCAAAGCCAGCCTGGGCAGGAGAGACTGTGAGACTCCTATCTTCAATAAACCACCAGAAAACCAGAAGTAGCGCTGTAGCTCAAGTGGTAGAGCGTTCGCCTTGAGCTGAAGAGCTGAGGGACAGCGCCCAGGCCCAGAGTTCAAGCCCCACGACCAACAAAAAAAAAAAAATCTAACATCAACTACTATGTTTGCTCTTCATACAAAGCCCCTAAAATGGCTAGACTTTTTCAAGGATATTATTCCAGATCAGGATTTTATTACTAATCCCCTATGGTCAATGTGATTCTCATTCTACCTTGAAATTCTAAATAAACTTAAGGCCAAAATATCAAATCACATTATCTATTTATCTACCAACCTATCCCCCCTCTTTTTCTCTCTATTAAATATTATGTTAAAAATACTAGTATCAGAAATTCGATGAAATTCTGTCATCCAATGGCCACCTGAGGACCATAAAACCACATAGAATTAGATTTGAAGTTCTGATGTGTCAGAATCCATCTAGCTGAAGAACTGCTAAAAACTCAAATCTTAATGTCATAAAAATCGTGACCTTGGTATTAAAGAAAATAACTTAGTCTACAAATTTAAAAGAAATGTTCCTTAGTGACTTCCAAATCTCAGTTTTTGCATACAATGATAGAAAAACTAGGTTTCTCTAAGCAGCAAATGAACATTTTCATCCAAAATGAACTATGCTAGACTCATCCAGGGTGAACAAACCAGACGGACTGTACAGTCTGAGCAGAAGAGACTTGAGAGTGATGCTAGCTTAAGCTTAAACATAGCTGGGTTTCTCAATTCAACATTCTGGGGGGAGAAAGATGAGTGGAATGAGACAATTATAAGGGAAGATTCAAAGGATAGTAGACCATTGGCATTCATTTGGACTATTTATGACGCATCTGGAAATTCCATGTCTTATTTACTGTGTATGCCAGACACAACTCCAACTGGCACTCAGGGCAGGAAAATACCAAGTAAATAAGGCAAGCTCCAGTATAGAGCTTCACACTTTCACATCTCAGGTGAGACATTTTATTTCCAGCAAAGTAACAGAGTAATGACTATACTTTCCATTTCATTCCAGGTAGAAGATTATATTCCAGTGTGAGCCTCACAAACCTGGAGGTTCATAAAGCACTAAGGAGTATTCTTCATGAATGTCTACTCTATGCCCCAATATTCTACTGTTCCTTCTTAGACTTTGAAGTTAAACTTAAAATGGAAATTGCATGTTACTGATGTTACTGAAATCTAGGAATGTTCGAATAGGAAACAAGACTGTCCATCTAGTAGCCATGTACTTCAACATTAAGATGAGCCAAATGACTCCTACCAGCTTGAAAACGTAGGACTGAGATTTTAAAAGCCATCTCCAAGTCCTCCATCCTACAATCTGAAATTGTAACCTAAGATATACAAAGACATACTACAAAGCCTGAGAAGGTGTTGAACAGCATGAAATGTTCCCCTCAAACCAATACAGCATCACTCTGCCTCTTCTATCCTCATAGCTCAGAGGCACAAGGCTGCTCCTGTTTTCAGGTAAGCAATGAGATGCCCTTTCCCCTGGGTAGAATTAAGATGGGCAGCAGGCACAAGCATACCCAGGAGTCTCCTATGGAATCCCAGGAGCTATCTGATAAAAAGAAAAAGAAAGTAGTCCTGTGACAAGCTGCTAGAATTTTAAGACAATTAGCCACAAGAAATATTTTCACTGCTGAAAGACAGTTTCCTGAACTTTTGTTCAGCAACAGGCTTCAGCTTCTGTTGCAGAACTTAAATTCAACACAGAATCAAAACACATTCCATCATTCTATCATACAGAATATTGTGAAGGCAAATGCCTCAACCAGTTTTACTTCTGAAAGCCCCTAGATCATTCTACAGCAGAAAAAAGGTCCCTCTCTAAACAATGGCTTCCTAGGTTCATCTTTCAAAATGTAGGCCAAATCATGAATTACAGCTGACACACCCTGGAAGAAGCCAAGCTTGAAATATGTAGAACAAAGAGTTTATTCAGAGATCTCTTGGATGCATTTCCTCCTCAAAAATAATGAAAGCAAGAGGAGTCCAGATGGGAATGGGCTACATTGGGAGTGGAGTCTTTTATTGAGATAAGCTGCAAAGACTCTGAATAAATTTCTGAGATTAAATGAGAAATTTTAGAAAGCCAATATTTGTGTGTGCATTTGTTTTGGTAAATTATTTCTAGTGCGCTCTACTATTCTGAAATGGGTTGTTGTTGAAATGGGTTATGTTTCACACAACAGCACAGAAGCCAGACTATGATAAAAAGAACTCATAGTGTACTTTCTCTGATTCCTGCTTTTTGCTCTGCAGTAGACCAAGGACTACTTATGCTTATCGGATAAGAGTGACATCCCATTCTTGCTGAACCTGGTTCTATTGCTCAGATGAGTAAGGATCATGTTTTGGCTTCCACAAGGACTCTCTTACCCAACATAGTTCCTGGAACACAGAATTCTCCCTAGCTTATAATGGTTTCCACACAAATATCCTGAGATGTGACAGAACAAGTACTAGTAAGAGCACAGGTCAGTAGTAGACAGAAAGAAGCTGGCTGCTCTCACCAGGTGACTTGCATATTTGTCCAAATCAACTGGTACCTCCATTAGCATTCACAGTTAGAGAAACTAAATTCACAGAGAATTTCTTTAAAAACAAAAACAAAGGAGGAGGCAACAATGCTCAATAGGAAATGTACTCATTACCTTGCTCATGTAACTATAACCCCTCTGTACAGCATTTTAACAATAAAAAATGTACAAAAAATCCCTACCTTGATGGTCAATTTGTTATCCACATTTTGAAAGCATCTATTCTAGTATAATTTTATTGGTAGAGTTCAGTCTAGACCAAGGTGCTGCATCTCACAGTTAATTTCAAACTAAAGCACTCACTGGGCATGCTTTCGTGAGGAATCTACTGTAACATTCAATTTATCACCAATCCTTGGTTCCTTACACTCTGGGATTCCTCCATTCTTCTCTTTTGCTTATGTAATTCAGAGTTGAATGTTTTTGTGTTATCCTTGCATGACACTTTCTACTGACTATTTTCTTCTACTTTCCGAATAATGAAAAATATGCTGTGTTGTTCTAGGTTTCCTTTCTCAGAATATTTTTCTTTAATGAAGAGAAACACAGATATTCCATAAAAAACAAACAAACAACGCTATATTTAGATGCTCCTATCTTATCACTTGCCCTGGAACAATGAAGACTGGCAAAAATGATAATATAGTCATTGTCATCTCAAAGAGTCTCCTACACTCTAATCCATGTGGTGCTAAGTACACAGTGATAATTTGTTGAAAACCAAATAGAAAATAAAGAGCAAAGCACAAATAAATACTACCACATGGGGCTGAATGTTCTGCTGGGTGTACAGCTTCATTTACCCCAACAGCTTTAGAAACCCCCCATGCTTTGAAAGTCATTCATGCATCCATCTTGTATTTATGTTTTGATTTCTAAAAACATGTGCATGAATCTAAAGTGTTGCTTAAATTCAGGGCTAGAGCGTTCTAGCAAACTTTTGAAGGTGCACTTACCGCCTCTCTAGTGGGCGTCCGTCGCTGGAGATGCTTCGAGGAATGTTGGCTGCTCTTTCTGGAGGAGGCATTTTCCCATCACCTTTCCCGGTATTCATCCGGGAGGTCATGGGACTCTGTACCTGGGATGGGACTTGAGGTGAATGAGGACCTTTGTTAGCATTCCGCTGCCATTTGTTATTATTTCGGAAGGGAAACTTGAACTCATATGAAACGCCATCATTCATTTTATACTCCATCACTGGCATGCGGTAGGTTTCCGAGCAACTCCTATAGAGTGGGACGAGGAGTGGGAGGAAGGAGGAACAGGGAGAGAAACAATACACTCTGTCTTATTTGACATGAATCCCAAATTTCGTCTTGTTCCTAACCCTCTTTCAGTCTTTAGGCCACGTAATTATTTTCCTCTTAAAAATCAGAATCCCAGCAATTACTACACTAGTGTTTTCCAAATGAATTTCAACTGAGGAGCCTGAAATACTGAGACTCTTAAAAAAAAAAAAACCCAGAAACCGAGATCACAGTGGGAGATCTGAGGAGGAAGACCAGTTGGGTAAAGAGGCAGATCCTGCAGCATGCAGTCTTGGAGGAAATATGTAATCAGCTTGACATGTCTTTTCAGAGTATTACAATTGAGGCCCTATGAGAAGGTATAGTTCTAAGTGTGCTAGGGTCCCAAGAGTCAAGAAATTAAGTCAGGAGAAATCTTGAAATCCAAACAGAAAGCTAAATTTAGCTTAGCAAGGGAAAAGACCTAATTATAGAAATATTGTAATTATTAAATCCCCAGGGAACAAAGTATAATCTAAAATCAGACTTCTGCTTTCCTTCATAGAAACCTCTCAGGGTCAGGATTGGCTCTAGGGAACAGTCTGAGTGAAATTAACAGCAAGCAAATGGGTTTCTTTAGTCTCATTTTATGTTATCACCTGAAACCTAACCCTCAGGACCCAGGAACCCACCTTCCATTGCTTTATAACCAAACAGTAATGGGAGGTGCAATCAATTATTAATTTGGCAGGCAAATGCCATTCCTACTAAAGTATTAACTCAAGGTGCATTTGAAGTTCATCACTAAGTAGGAAGATCATTTCCTTTCTTTAAAGGAATTGTAAAGACTGGGTAACAAGTGGGAAAATTTGGAAAGAAAGGATAACATCAACTATGAATGAGCCCTTCAGCAGGGTACTTTAGAGCTAAAGACTTTTCAGTTCGAGACAAACGGAATGAGAGCCAAACACATGACTCTAATAGAAGGTAAAAATGGTGGAATAAATGTTAATAATACACTCTATGTAACCCAAATGGTTTTCATGGCAAGGTACCCACTCCTGGCTTACTGCTCTCTTAAGGATCTGCAAAACATAAGAATGACTTAAGAAATAAAGAAGTAGACAGTACACTGAAGAACAAAGATAAAGTTGGGTTGTAATACTACACATAAATACTAATGAAAGGCTTTTCACTAGATCAATCAAAGTAAAAGACAAAGTCAGGCTAGATTAGTTCTGGCCTCAGACTCAGGAAGTAGTGCTGCATCCAGCCTTCCACTGAGTCTCCTCAGATGCACCCCTACATAGACTCACCCCTGGAAGGTGACTCCTATCCATACTGGTCCTCAGGAAACAAGACACTTGAGGGAGGCGCTCTCTCCCCTGAGGTCTGAGGCATTCACCACAAGGGGACTGCTGGGGGCCAAGGTCCAGTGCTGTCCAAATGGATTTTCCCAGTCAGGGAACCAATGTAATGACCTCAGGGTCGAGAAAATCCATGGAAGCATGGGCAAAGATCTCAAGGAGTTTTATTTGGCTGGCTGTGACTACCTTGTCCCAGGGCTGAGAGCAGCTCCAACCTCCAGCAGGGCAGAGTTTATATAAATTAGAACCACATACAGGTGGCAGTTTACAGAAGCTTGAAGATGATTAGGGGCAGGGATATTCTTCAGCTGTGGTCAGTGTCAGGCAGACAGCAATTTGCAGCCCAGAGATTCAGGACTTGAGGAATTGAGGGTTATCAAGGAATGAAAAACAAGCTGGGTTATTACAAGCCTAGGAGAAGTTATGGTCAGCAGGAATTATAATTTCAATGCTAAAAGTGACAAAAAGATAACCCTCTGAAATTATAAATGAATTAAAAAGCCACATCATCCCCTCATTTTATTTTTCAGTTTTTCATTCTCCTTTCATTGTTATTTATCATCACTCTCTCCTTTTTCCTTTAAAACTATGAAATATAAAGAAATGAACCATGTATTGAATATAACAGCTTGACACTGCTCCAGTTCTGAACACCCTTATGTTTTGAGTACAGCTCTAACACTAGAAACCATGTAACTAGGGGTCTGGAGAAAGTGTACATCTTTCAACTCAAAGATTGAGATTTGAACTAGATGAGTTCCAATAGCCTTTCTACCTCTAAAGCAGTATGCTTTCCCACTTTCAAAGGAAGAAAACACTCTGCAACCTATTCTTATTTAGAAAGTAGTTTGATTCTGAAATCTCCCGGAAAAAAGTAATTTGGTCTTTTTATATAACTGTTTGTTTTTAGCTCTTGAATGGCCCTTGATTGCCTTCTTTAAGAACTGCAGGCTAGTGTCTGCAGAATAAAGGTTCTCCACTGCCCCCCTAACCCCCCACCTTGCAATTCTATATAGAACATCGCAATTGATTTTGTTAGCTAGGTTATTTTTCCTCTTGTCAAGGATGACTTCTAGACTTAGAGGTCATAGACAGTGATGGTCACAGACTCTGAAGATGGTGAGAAGAGGAGGTGAGGAGGTGGACGGACATGAGAACATGATGGACAGAAGACTATTCTGACACGACTACTGAGACTGCTTTCATCTGCTGTCCTCACAGATACTGCTGTTCAGTCTCTGGGTAGATACTTCACCCTTCAGGCCTCATTCTTCTCATCATTTTAAAGGAAACAAACCTACTATGAGGGTTTAAAGAAAAGTAATGCACTTTACATAGTAGAGGCTCAGGAACTTTGCTCTTCTCCCTATCTCTTCTCTTGTTAAAAAAAAATTAGTTGGGAAGCAATTCACAGAAGGGCATGCTTATTTTCCTAGAACTGGGACAAGAGCCCTATTTTACATTTGTTATTTAAGTGCCTTTTTGTTCCTGTAAAACGAGCTTTCATTTTTTTTCCCTAAAAAGTATCTTTACAAAATGATTGGCTATCCCACAATCTCAGGAGTCTGTATGACATTAACATGGCCTTGGCTGTTTGGGACCCTGAGGGTCCTGGTGATGCCAAGAACTGTGGGGCAGTGGGTAATGGGCAAGGCCTGTTCTCTGAACCTGCCTAAAAGAATGGCTGACAAAGAGAAGAGTGACTAGTCAAAGAACAGAGTAATTAGTTGCTAGGAAAACAGCAGTGGGAGTGTGAAGTGCGGAGGAGAAGAAAAAAAAATGACAGAAAAGCATTAGCGTATTTTGTTGAAAACTATAACAAGGTGTTAATGCTTCAACTGTTCGCTTTGAAATCATTTCTAAAGGGAGTAGGGAGAAGGATTTCAGTTCTCCAAGGCATCCCTATACTATCTTCCAACCCAGAGTCAGATAGTGGCTTCACTGATAGAATTCACAGTGAAAAGTGGCTGACATGGATCCACTATGCCTTTATCCAGCCTCTAGTCCCAGCACCTGCCAACATGTACTTGACCTGGGAGGTCAAAAAGATGTCAGAGTACTTCCTAGCAGTGCAGGGAGAGGCACAGATGCAGCTCACTTGCTCTTGGTATATAGGAGCTGACTGCACTAGGTTGCAGGAGCTGGTTGTCCCCACAGATATCAGAGGTAGCTTGAAATCAGCCACTTTGGAATCCTGGCCCGATGAGAATTGGCAATACTACAAGTCAAGACAATTTACTAGCATTTCCACACTACTAACTGGCATTTAAGGCAAGGAACTATAAGAGTGTTAAAAACAGTAGCAACAATCTCAAGTTAGACCTAACAAACCATCTTGAGTCTTAGTCTTAAGACCAGAAGAGTAATAATCCTGTTACCTCACAGAATTGTTATAAGGATTAAATGTTGTAAGAATTAAATCTATAGTGCTTTTTTCCAAAACCTGGTGCATTAAGAGTACAACATCCAGAAAAATGTTATTTTTACAACACACTAAAGACAGAAAAAAAAAATCTATCTAGTACATTGCTGAAGACAAACCGCTTTTTATTGTGGGTGCAGCTAGAAGGGCTGGTCTTTCAGAACCATCTTCCTAGGAATAACTATTCATGGTTTCAGTATCAGGAATGCTGTGTACCAGCAGCAGCACCCTCACATCAATCTGATTCTTCTCTGCTTCCCAACACAAACCTTGGGATAATGAAAACATTTCTAAACAGATAAGTTGGCATCACAATTCTATGGGCTTCACTGTTGAAAGAAAATCCTTACACTAGTCTCTATAATTCTTAGTTGTATCTAATTAAGAATGACAATTCACAAGCTGGGTTTACACCTATAATGGTACATGCCTATAACCTCAGCTATTCAGGAGTGAAGAGGATGTAGACTTTAACCCAGCAGTGAAACTTTTCAAAAAAAAAACAAAACAAAGAAAACAACAAAGAAAAATATGCAAAAAAGAACTTGAGAGCATGGCTCAAGGAGTAGAGAGAGCTTACCTAGCAAGCTTTACGCTCTGAGTTCAATACCAGAGCTGGAAAAAACTCTAAAATTCATGAAGCTTGGTTATTTTCTCTTGCTTAGAGACATCAAAGGACAGTAGACAGACAAACGGGAGGAGTATAGGGCACTTGGAGTCTCTCAGTAAGAACCCAGATCTCCCTCTGAGCCACCAACAGTAATGTTTGAATTCCAATTCAGAAATATGTTTAATACTAATGATGATGTACCTGAGGAAATCTGAAAGACTAATGGTCTATCAGACCTGGTTGGCCAGGACAGCACACGCATGTGGGACATTTTCTGAGTATTCCTCAACCCCAAAGTAACTGACAGAACCAAGTTCTGCATAACTATCTTTGTTTCTTGAGAAATCTACCAAGTTACTCTTTTAAAAAACTTCACTGTATTTTTACATAGACACATAATCCCTGGTTCACCTAAGAGAAGCAGAACTAGGATACACTATTGCTTTGAATAGAAGAACATTTGGTTGCCATTGTTGCTTGATCTTTAAAGAACTCAAACCATCGTAACTTTATAATCTACTATTTGATAATCATAAATCCATGGGCACTGAGGTGCAAGATAGGTCATTTAGAGGAAAAAATAGGATGAGAAACTTTGTCTTGGCTTATGAGACCTATGAATTATTTGCCAAATAGGAGAAATTCTTAGAAAATAATGGCTAAAAGAAACAGATATTTTATAAAGCCAGCAAAAATAGCATGTGCAAGTCTAAAGGGGAGACAGTTGATTAAATTTATTCCAGCAGCAACCTCTCCAGAGGAAGCGAAATTATTATTTTTCACAGTGCTTCTGGACTAGCAAAATTGGGTGGGCAGGTGCTCCGGGGTTCTCCTTTTGGGAGAAGGCTGGAGACCAAACTTCCAAGGCATCATGAGCAGATCATGCACATCATGCAGATGCAGTTAGGAAAAATCTCGTAGGTCATGCTCAGCTGTCTAGGCTCTCAACAGATTTCAAAACAACACTTTGTATTTTGGATAGTAACTGGGTACAAATGGGTTAAGTGAGGAGAATATAAGCATCATAGAATATAAAAGAGAAAAAAATCTGGCAGTTTAAAATGCTGAGTGTCCTTGGATTTATTTCTTGGCTACTGGAGCAAGATGTTTGAGAACATTACCAGACTTCTTTATCTGAAGCGATCCTGGGGCTGGCCCAAGCAGTCATTCTTTCTAGCTGTTACTGCCACATGCAGAAAGGGAACTGTGATCTGAGTCAAGCTTTCCATGGAAGGAACTTCCGGCATTGCACAGAATCTACTGTTCTGCATAACACCTGCCTCCCTACCTGCTAGTCATTCTATATGGCACACAAACCCCACCCTTCAGGTCTCAGACCTACCTTCGTGGGGTGCAGTCATCATGGGGGGGAATGATGACAACTTTCACTGTGACGGATGTCCTCAGGAGATCAATCATCTGCTCATGGCTCAGGGTGGCCACAGCCACCTTGCAGATCTCCACCAGGCGGCTGCCCTGCCTCAGCCCTGCCTGCCATGCATAGCCATACGGTTCTACATCTGCCACAATGCCCTCGTAGTTCACATGAAAGCCAAGCTGTCCTAAACCATTTCTTCGAAGAGTCATTTCCACTGATTCACAACCTTTTGAAACAAACTAGAAAGGGAGATAAAAAAGATTGGGGCTTAATGTATGAGGTATTAAGGAGGAGATATGGAACTGGAAAACTGCTGCTAAAGTAGGGTTATTGCTGAATGCCTATGACCAGCTGAGGGACAGGCTGGTCCTATCTCTTTCACTCACCTTTTTTTTTTTTAGTTCTAAACATTTTTTTTTATTGTGAAAATACTGTACAGAGGGGTTACAATTACATGAGCAAGATAATGAGTACATTTCTTATCAAGCATTGTAGCCTCCTCCTTTGTTTCCCCTTCCCATCCCATCCTCCCTCCCCCCCCACCAAAGTTGTAAAGTTCGTTTTTGACATAACGACTTGTACGTCTCATTGTTGCAATGGGTCCATAACACATTTATAATATTATTTCTTTGTTACTTTGTATGTCCCTCCCCCACAGTATAACCCCTGCTTTCACTGTATCTGATGTTGGTATAATTTGTGGAGGGGAAGGGAAAAACAAATCTTTCACTCATCTTTTACAGCCAAATGTTAACATACTGTTGCATCCAAAGAGCTCAAGGCTTTCCTGAGGTTTAAAGGAAATCTCTAACAGAGACCTGCCAACAATGAGAAACTATAAAAAAAATTATGACAATAGATCCTCCAATTACTCTTTAAACATCTACATCAGTCACCAAGATAGAGAGGGATCAAGTCACATGCAAATGAGAAATGTGTACTCCTCCACTTGACTGAAACTTTTCTCAATACATGATGGAAAACATAAACTTTTATGTTGCTCTCACTTGCTTTGATCTAAGGGAGTTTCTAGGGTAGTTAATAAAGGTACTAGCTTGGATAACTGAGAACTGAAAACTTTATGTAAGAGAAGTGGCCTGTGAATGAGAGGAAGGAAAAGACTCACCTGCAGCCGTTTGACAATCTCTTTGATATCTTCATTGCTAATGAAACTCTCTACCGACACGCACTCTCCTCGCTCATAGAAGATTTTGACACTGGTGTCAGTTGAGGTCCACCCTATCACATCTCTGCAGGAACAATTGAAAACCACACTCTTTGTTTCCTGTTCAATAAGGACGATGAACTCATTGGAGATCCCGAGAAGACAGTCTATTTCCATAGCCTTGTTATAGTCCTTGGCCCGGACTGCCCACACAATGGCCCCCATGCTACTGAGCTCAGCTCCTGGATATGGCTTAGACTTTTCCTTCTTCTTAGAGGCCAGAGAGATGAACGGAAATTTGCCAGAAGGGTCAATAGGGGTGTTGGTGACATTCTTTTCTGCCAAATCTTTCAGGTATTCCTGGCGAGTCCGAGTTGCCATAGCCCGGAACTTTTCTGATTTATGAGCAGCATTCTCTGCATTAATCACTTTGGCCAAAAGGAAGTCCCTGAACACATTTGACTTGGGAAATGTGACCCCTTTTGGGATAGGAGGTCCAAAGGAAGGCACATCTCTGGACCTGGTGACTGCCACACTAGGAGACAAAGCAAAAATCAAAGGGAAAGAGCTTATCAATATATCTTACAATATGAAAATAAAATATATTTTTACAAACACAGAGCTGGGGAAGTAAGGGAGTAGTCGAGTATTTGTCTAGCATGTACAAGGTCCTGGATTAAAGCCCCAGGAAAAAACAAAGGGCATACCTCAAAAGAACGTCAATTTCTCATCTCCTTCCTTCAAAGCAATACACATTTCTGCTAATATGAGCATCATCTTTTATTCAATCACATTCAGATGTTAGGGAACATAAAATACTTTTCTAAGGCAAAAAAGTAAAGTTAACAAACTTCCATTCCTTTATAAATAGGAGGCTAAACAAAACTCCATTAATAAAACCTTTGTCATAATACTCTACATAAAAAAATCAAGTGTATTTTGAATACCAAGGAACTGTTTTGGGGTTGGTGGGTTATAGAATTATTGAACCTTCTAGACCATAAGCAAATACACATTGTATTAGAGCTCCAATGTGCCCTCCATTTGAGACAGGATGCCTATAAACAACTTATTATGAAAATACCATAAGATACAAAACATATAGGAAGCAAATTTCTATTAAATTAAATAAATATTATCTGTTGTCCTATGCCATGATATGACCAGATTAAAAGCATTAATTTTAAAATAAAAATGTTGATTAACAGGATTATGATCTTTATATAATAACAACACTTTAAAACTGTATTTACTTTAAGCTTTATATTTTTGTGCCAGTACTAGGGCTTGAACGCAGAGCCTGGCACTGTCCCTGAGCATTTTTTTTTTTTTTTTTTGCTCAGGGAGTTATGGAGCCATGGCTCCATTTCCAGCTTTCTGGTGGTTGATTAGAGATAAGACTCCCAGGGACTTTCCAGCCTGGGCTGGCTTTAAACAGTAACTCTCAGATCTCAGCTACTCAGTAGTGGCTGAGTAGCTAGGATTTCAAGTGTGAGAAACCAGTGCCTGGAAAACTGCATTTATTTTTCTTAAGCTGGTATAAATTTTCTGCTTTTGGTATATAATTCTGACAATCTACTTGTGAGGAAGATTTTCCCTTTCCTATTTCTTTAGGCAAGACTGTCATGAGAAAGCTTGTTTTCATCATTTCTTCTGCATATGTATTTCTAAAAATGGGACTAAGAAAAGGGCCATATGAATATCTCTATTGACCTGTAATTTTAATAGTAAAAAGTTAAATATTAAATTTAGAAACATTGAAAATTCTAAATTTCTGCTGTTTTTCTGAAACAGAGATTAAATTTAACAGAAGTTAAATGGAGAGAGTGTATCTCCACATTATATTCTAAGATTACATGTGATATCCTTAGCCAAATCTTGAGATGTCTGGAATTTATGATTCTAACAGTTTAAACAATCCTCTTCTCAGATTATCTAAAAGTGACTCAATTATGCAATTATACTATTAAGGAAATAATATAAAAATTGGCTTCATCTAAATTCCCAGAACGGGAATCATGAGTATGTACCTTTCAAATTAAGCTGAGGAACTGTTTCACATTCTCTATTTTAAGAAGAATCTGCTTTAAGATATTTAATTTTACTTTTACTATGCCTTATGAAAGCAGGATAAAAATCAGTACTCTTATAACAAAACTATTTGGTGAAATGGAAAAGCCATACCAGAAGATATAGATAGATTTGCGTATTGTTAATTCTACAAATACACAGACACAGACACATACACACCCAAGACTACCTGGCTTACATTATAACAAAGAAAGATGTCAAGTAATGCTACGTTTTCCAACTGAAGAATTCATAGAAACCTCTATATGCATGCAGTATAGCCTAATTACACCAGTATTAAAAAGGCATTTTTTCTGGTTTGCTGTAACTGTCTGACTTGAATGCTGACAGTTGTATAATTTTGATCTTCTTCTCCCCTGCCCCCCCCCCCCCGCACTGCTACGGAAGTCGAGCAAAAGATGCTGAAATCTAGATTTGCTAGATTTTCTAAGAGGAATCCTGTAAGTGTCCAGAAATACTTAGTATTTTTTCATTTTAAAATCGGTGATTTTTTTCTGTTGCTAATTTCACTCAAATCATTATTCTTCCTCAGGGAACAGCTGGGATTTTATTTTAAACAAGGAGAGGAACATGCTTAGCAGGGGGTGTGATTATGAGCACCATCTATCTATTTGCTCTCAAACCCACTGGCTTTCTACAGATCTATTTATTAAGTGACAGAATTTTAGACAAACATATACTGAAAACCCACCAATAATTAGAAGCCTCCAGATTGAATTGAGGGAGAGAACTGAAACTTTAACATGTAATTATCAGTGATTCACCATGGTAGGGAGGTAAATGATATAGACACTAAAATCAGCTTTGTGTTATTACCAATAGAATCTTTATAGAAAAAGAAGATGAGGAAGATGATACCTTAGAATACTCTTTTCAAATGAAGAATTTTGTTGGGATAAATCTAACGTTCAAGGTTTCTAGGAGGTTAAGAGCTTATTAATTTCAATGCCACTTGTGCTGACCTCTTTATAATAAGGCCTGGTTTAAGCAACATAGTATCATTTGTCTTAAAAAAAAGCTCATTTGCTATAGATACTTAAGACATATTAATTATAAATGGTTCTAACTATTTTTAGAAGCAGATTCTCTAAAAAAAGAGCCTCAGTGTGGCCAAATTCTGTTAGCTATGCTAGTATGCAACACTGGATCCCAGAAATAATACATCTTTTGCAGTTATAGCCATGGTTTATGCAGTAGGTAGGGTTATAAACTAGGATATGCTGTCCAGGAGTCTAACCTGGAGGACAGACAATGCTAAGAGACTAGCGCAAAGCAGTCAGGGAGCTAGCACCTGAAGTCACTGCCCTTTGAACTCTTCTAATAAAAATCTTGGGCTTTAAGAATTCACTTTGCTGGGCTGAGAAGTTGGCTCAGTGGCAGAGCGCTTGCCTTGCATGCCTGAGTCCCTGGGTTTGATTCCTCAGCACCGCATAAGCAAAAAGAAAAAGGGCGGAAGTGGCGCTGTGGCTCAAGTGGTAGAGCACTAGCCTTGAGCTGAAGACCTGAGGGACAGCGCTCAGGCCCAGAGTTCAGGCCTCATGACCGGACCACCCCCTCGCCCCCCCAAAAAAAGAATTCACTTTGCTTTTACAAAAACCATTAAGGAACATTTCTGCAACATCTGAGAATGATGGAGAGAACTAGATGGTATCCTGTGCTTATCTCCCTGAGAACATAACATATGGATTCTTCACTTCTCCAGGAAAGAGATGTAGAGAAGTGAGATGATTTATACAGAACTGTCAAGAGAGAGCCAGGGCTAAAGTGAAGCCCTCAGAAGCCAACAGAGAACTCCCGGACAAGATACCACACTTCCCTCTGAAGATAGGTTTTTTCAACCTCCCCTTCGAATCTCAAGATACTTGCTAAAGACTGCCATCCACATGAGTCTCATGGGCCAAGAGACCACCATGAGGCTTTATGTAGTTGATTAGGGCTATGTAACATTTGCTGACATCAAACACCTTGGATGAAGCAGTGGGTCTTGATACTCAAAGCCAAACCGAAGTTGATATACAGGGATACATCTGAATATAAGTCTGACACTTGAACTTTAGAAGCTCAATGGAAACAACAATAAACAATATTTCCCAATCCCCAATCTAAATGAATGACAAAGAAAACACCCAAATAGAAGAAGGAGGTTCTGCTGGTTCTCTTCTTGAAGACTGGCTCAGATTGCCATGCATGTGGGGAGGTTTACAGAAAGGCAGAACTGGGCAAAGGAAGAAAAGATCAAGGACACTCATTTTCTCTAGGGAGCTTTATATTTCTATTGGTACTCATTCTCCCAACAACACTATCCAGTTCCCATTAGTTATGCTCTAGGCAACTTTTAAGGATAAAGGATAAAACCCAAAGACTGGCGAAGATTAATTCCAATAGATTGAACTACCTGCTAAAATCACCATAGTCCTAGGAGGTCAGGAGTTTATCAGGTGAAGGAGAGCAGGGCTATGAGAGCAAAGACATTGGCCCAGAGAGCAGTAGATACAGACTACTGCTCTTAAATTCCTGGAGATTAAGTAGTTTCACAAGAGTAAGTGGGTAGAGACAGGGAGAGGGGTTGGCAAAGGAGTCAGAAGAGGCTGAGACAAGAGATCAGACTTGAAGGACCCCACACAACAGACTATATTGAACCTGAACTTTTCCCTAAGTTATTTTAAAAACAAAGTGAACACACATAAGTCTTAGGAAGATCTGCTAACTTACTTTTATGGGGAAAAAATCCTACCACTTGGCCATTTTGGCTTTTTCTTCTTAAATGAACCTTAACAAAGTATACACATTTAATGTTCATATATCTTACTCCCTTGTACACATCCCATATTGACTGGAGTTTGAATAGATGTCACAAACAATCTTCCATTGTACAGAAAGGGAAATTTAACACTTCAGAGGGTTTACAATCTGATTTAATCCAAGAGCAGTTTTACAAAATTATACTGACTCTTCTATATTTATTTCATTCTTGACCCTAAACTAAGCTACCGATTACAAGAAATATTTGTTCTGAAGGCTCAGGGTTGTTGTTGTTTTTAATAACGACTTATTGCAACCATAAAATTAGTTATTTCTTATTTTTTATCAAATAAGCTATCCATTATCTAATTTCCAGTTGTTTACAATATCTTAAGGTTTTATTTATAGTTTTGCCTAAATTAAGACTCAAGGTCCACACATTGCAATTAATTTATCACCCCCTCCCCCTCCCCGGGATAGAAGCCAGAGCCTTAACTCACGCTAGACAAGCCTAGACAAGTTTGAATTTATCCACTAAAACTAGGCTGCTCTCTCTTCTGTATTTCTTATCAATTGGCTTATCTAGAGATTTGATCAGATTCAGATTTAATGAGGGGGAACTGATTCATAGGTGAGGTTCTGTTTTTCCATTATGAGGCACACATTTGTCTTTTTTTATGATGTTGGCAGCCTTTGATCATCAAGGCTAGATCCATTAATTCATTAGTTGTTGAAAAATGGAGATATTCTACCCTTTGTTTTGTTCTTTCTTGCCCTCAGGGGTGAGTGAAGTATATTTGGTTGTTTGCCTCCAATCAAATGACCTCATACTGCTATGCTTATTGAATTTGTATCTTTGATTTGAGTAGTGTTTTCTGCATCTCCCCTAACAATAATCACATATTGATGGTTTTCTGTATATTCTTGCCTTTAACGGCTCCTTCATCTTTTTGATTTGTTGCTTCTAATTTGCTCTATCAGCTGGGACCAGGCAATTAAGCTTACTGTAATGATGCAAATAAAATAACAGAGACTGGAGGGTTTCACTGATCAATTACAGGGTATGCTTTAGTGCATAGACTTAAGTAACTATTTGAGTACTTGGCTATATCAAGACTATTCAAGGTTAACTGGCTTCTAGAACCAGTCAGTTTTTCCTATATAAACTTTCCAGTTCTCAGGGAGAAATAGCATTTCTTTAGTTCAGGAGCTTCTCTCTGGACATACTCTAGGTAGCACACATAAGTACTGAATAAATACAGAAGCATAAACAGATAACAATAACTTCCAAATTATTGTTCTGTCATTGTTAGATGGATTTTCCTAAAATTTTATTTTACTCTGATGCCCAGCATTGAAAAACACTCTACTGCCTAGTTCTCTTCCCTACATTATAAGGCCCCTAATGGTGCTCTCCCTCTTCTTTCCTGTCTCTATTTAGGGCATAAATGACTATTCATTACTCCTAGACTTACTCCTCTTGTTCCCATTGAATTCCATCCACAAGTGCTCTAAAACACACAAACTGAGTCCCATTTTTGTATTATCTCTGTAACTTGACCTTGCAGTGCTCTATGTTCCATTTTCACATAAACTTGTCATGGAGAAAGATTTCTAGAGATGAGAATGGCTGAAGAAATTAAAATGAAATTTATGTTCTAGTTTAGTTGAGAAAATAATGCTTCCATGATGTATACATCAGATACTAAGTAGGGGCCAATAAGAAAAAAACATTAAGATTCCTACTGAAAAAAGTTGGGAACAAAAGATTTTAAATGATAGAAAAGTATTTGATTTACTGTCTCACTAGATTACTTAGGGATAAAGGTAAATGAGATTTAAATAAATTTAGAATAACTCAATGTATTTAGAATAACTCTAAACATTTTCACCATAGTAGCACTAATGAAAGAGGACTATAAATTAATGTTCCTTTTAGTTGGGAGAGTAGCTATGGTTTGAGGAAAACTCATAGCTGTGAAAATTATTTGAAGGCTCCTGTATCATGCTAAAATTGATGAAAACTTCCCATTCTAACTTATATTTATTTTCATGAGGATATTAACTCCTCCCCCCTTATCCCCAACAATAAAGGTTGCAAAAAGGTGCCTTATTTACTGAGCCTCCAAACACCTCTGATATGTCATAAACTTCAGGAAATATGTACAGCTCATTTGAAAAAGTCAGTGAAGAATCTGATTCCTTAAGTTTACAGCAGAAAAAAGACACAACTTTATAATTTTTGTGATTTGTTTTTCAGTGATACTCTAACATAATTTTCTTGGATTTGTAAATAGCTAAAAATTCACAGATGATAGCCATGTGTTGGGTCTTCAAATAACTTTTACAACTAGGGAATTCCAAATATACTCAGAAGTCATGAGCAGGAGTGTGTTCAGTGCGCTACTATTAGCAAAGACAAGCACAGTTTCACATGATGGGGTTAAAAAAGATGGGCTCTTTAGCCAACAGGTCAAAATAAGGGAGATAAAGAAAGGGGTAACAAGGTTGACTAGAAACATACTCATTACCTTACTTATGTTACTGAAACCCCTCTGTACATCACTTTGACAATTAAAAAAAGGAAAGAACTCATTTTCAGTGTGTGTATTTGTATTAAGTACATGTACTTAACATACCTAATTAAGCCCTAAGTAAGGGCTTAGGCTTTTTCTTTAGTAACAATAATTTAAAATAAACTTCTTCTCTCTCCTAATTATTATGATCATTTTTCTCTGCTCCCAGCAAACCCAAAACCATATATAATTAGTATATAAGTAATTAGTTTGATGGTGACCAGATGGTATGGATGAAGGACAACCACACAAAGAGGAGGTGCAAATGGAAACAACAGGTGTCTGACCAAGTCTGGGAAATGCCAACACTATCAGATTATGTCACCAGGTGAATTTTAGCCATGTGCACACAAAAGGTGAAGACAAAATAGTAATAGACTCCTATTGCCACTTTAGAAAGCACAGCTGGATGATGCCTCTGCACAGCAGCCATGGTCCACATAGCCAACATTGTAGCACTCACACATACCTGTAACAGACACTGTCCGTGCAAGGGTTGTGAGCTCGGACAATAACGAAAACATGCTGAAAGTGAGACCGGATGTTTTTGGGGCTAAATGGCTGTGCTCCGGGCTCTTGGAAAACAATTGTTACAATGTCATTGCCAATGTGACGCTTCCGTAGGAGCTGAAAGAAACAATAAGCAACCAACATAAATGACAATGCTCCGACTGTTTGCCCACCCCAATTCCCTCAGATAATTATATTTAAAACGTTCATTACTATCCATACACACCAGAGTAAAAAATCTACAGTTACTATCAATATTTTAGAGTGTCTTATCATTCCCTCCAAGAAAGAATATGGAACTTGCACAGAAGACATAGCCATTTAAATTGATCTAATCAATATTTGCTAATGTCTATTATGCCAAGTTTCAACATCTCCAAATCTTCAGTTTCTATAACAAGAGGTCTGTTCCATTTCATGTAAACTTGCCATGTGGAAGACTTCTAGAAAAGAGAATGGCTGAAGTAATTACAATGCAATTTATGTTTTTGTTTAATTGGCTTTATTTAAAGAAAATATTAGCTAGAGAAAATATTAGCTAAAGTTTTATCTGACAAAATTTTGTGTCACAAGCTGGGAATAAATGAATTAATGTTATTACACAGTGTAGTAACAAGTTAAATGCAGGTTAAATTTTTGGCTTAAATAGTTCCTTTAAGTACAAAGAAAGGTCTTTAAAACCACCTTCAGTTTTGTGCTAACAGGTAGTTTACATGGGTGGTTGGCAAATGCAGAGACTCCCCATATCATTCTAGGACAGTGCTTTTTCAGGGGAAGCTTTCTAAGTATTTAATATCAGTTGTGTAAAGAGAATTAAACAAAATTTGTATGTCTGATGCTTAGGGAAGCTCATATCTGTAAGACATAAGCTCCTATTTACAAAATTTATTTTTAAACTTGCTAATGACATGGGCTAGGGGTATGGTTCAAACAGAACCATACCTTGCAAGTGCAAGGCCCTGAGTTCAATCTCTAGTGCTAAAACAAAAAACAAAAACAAAAAAACCTCTGGTGACATTAAGATACAAATTGCATACCAGTAAAATCAGCCACTTACTACTGGCTGTCATCTGGAAGAAATAATAGACTGGATTGAGAACCGAGACTTAAAAATAGTTGGGAAATATACTTTTAACTAGAAATTTTAAGACATCTCAAATTATTTTCCAGTGAGGCAACTTACTTCATTTCTAAATACGACATATAGTCAGATGTTACAGAAATAAAATCCAGTCTGAATTGATTATTCTATACAATATACCAATAATTTAAAATCAATATACTCAAGATGAACATAAAAATATACTACTCAGGGGGCTGGGAAGATGGCTCAGTGGTAGAGCGCTTGCCTTGCATGCCTGAGGCCCTGGGTTCGATTCCTCAGCACCACATAAGCAAAAAGCCAGAAGTGGAGCTGTGGCTCAAGTGGTAGAGTGCTAGCCTTGAGCTGAAGAGCTGAGGGACAGCACCCAGGCCCAGAGTTCAGGCCCCATGACCGGACCCAAAAATAAAATATAAAAAAAAAAAAGACCTACTGTAGATGTATCCATGTTTTTAATAACTGAGCCTCTGGCAATCTAATTTCAGAAGCCTATGGGCTAGAATCCATACAGAAAAAAAAATCTATGGTATCAAAAGAAATTAAATCAGAAGATAAACTATTAAATGATTTTAAAAGGTGCTGAGCACAAGATTTATATTATTGAGATATCTGCAACAAGAAGCAATATGAAGATATCTGCTTCTGATAAGTCTATAAATCCACAGGTAGAACTTATAAAACTATAGTTTACTGTCTATGTTCATAATTGAAAAAGATGCTAAATTTCAAATTAGGAACAGTGAAAATAAAGGTAAAATTGTTTTCCATTCATGCTCACAGACATCACATTAAGAGCCTCTTTTCTAATTCTCTGAATACAAGCGGGAAGCTGTTTTGTTCATTACAAAAAAAATGACCCCTCTGTACAGCATCTTAAAAATAAAAAAGTTGATAATTTAACAATACTATAACATGTAAAAACAAATTTACTGCTGGGTGTCAGTGGCTCACAGTTCACGTCAGGCCAAGTCTCTGAGATTCTTTTCTCCAATTAACCACCAAAAGCCAGAAGTAGAGCTGTGTGGCTAAAGTGGTGGAATGCTACCCTTCAGCATAAAAGCTCAGGGACATTGCTCAGGCCTTGAGTTCAAGCCCCAGGAATGGCACCAAAAGAAAACAGAAGAATGGGGGGGGGCAAGGTACTATAGGAATATCCAAGAAATTGACTTGAAACTTAAATATTTGTTGTATTCTCACTGTCCTTAAGGAAAAAAATAATAACCTATACTGCCTAAATGAAAAGGTTTCAGAATCAACAAGTCCACAACTACCTGGGGCCAAAACAGAGAGTACAGATACTTATTACTGCCCAGCTGAAAGGGACTACTTGTTAAAACTCACAGAATCCTGGATGCATGGACTCCAAAAGGAGCAAATGTGCATAATTCTGGGTAAACTCACCTCTATCAACCATATTTTTGAAGAGCAAAACATTTATTACATTTTAGAGAATGATGCTGCATCAGGGATGAAAATGTTCAACCTTTGGAACATAAAAGGTCCTTGAAATAATTTGGCATCCAATGAAATACGTGTTTCTTGTATGCTTCTTGTCAGCTGCCCCAGAGATGTCTCCCTATATTGATATTTTGTATGGTCCATGGATGAGGTTACAAATACCTAAATGGCTCTTGGCAGAAAAAATGTTCCCCATCCCTTTAACAAAACCCCTGGCTTATACTGTAAGTTAGTAGTTCTCAAAATTCAGTATGTACATCATCAGTTAGGGAACTAGTTTAAAAAGGCTTCCTCCCTAGAAATGCTACATGTTGGGTGTGGGGCTTCAAACTGCAATTCTTAGATCGCAGCCTCCTGTGTAGCTAGGATTATAGGTGTGAGCTACCAGCTTTACAGACAGCTTTTAAAAAGCTGTTTCAAGCTTGAGCTTAATGGAAGCTCTTATTTTTGAACCTGATGTAAAATGCAAGGATTTAAAATAAACCAAAAGCAGAAAAGAGCAAAAATGACTAGAAAACTACAAAAATATGTAACATATAACTACTCAAGAAAAACAACATTAATGACCACCACTACAAAAGACTGCATATTGCTATAACAGAGTTTCACTGAACTGCTTAAGATCAGTCTGAGTATAAAGAATTTATCTATTGTGAAGAACCCCTGCTATAAATAGCAGAAATGATTAGTACATTTTTAATATTTTAAGGTGAATGTGTCAGTATCGACAAATATTTACACGTGTTTCAAGCCAATTTTAAGAAAAATTAATGAACTAAAAAAAAAGACTGTCACCAGTATTCGCTTACTACATTTTGCTTTATGTCTGTCTAAAGCTAAAAGGATTACTACCTGAGAAGAAAAGTAAAATGAAAGACAGCCCTGAGGATAGTTTGTTTTGGGTTCTCAGTCCATTCTCTCCTTTATATGTCTCATTTATACAATGCAAGCTACCTGACTAGCATGTTATTCCCCTGAGGATGTTTCTAAAAGTTCTAAATTTTTGCTGATATTTTTAACAGTTTGGAAACAACTTCAAAAGTTTTAGACATGAGACTTGGGTCCAAACAATGAAATCTTCCTTTCTGAGAAGAAAGGATTTCCAAAATCTTAAAATTACCACATATGTAACAGAGTTGCTATACTTAATCAGGAAGACTAGAAAGGAATGTTTGCTGTTTTCTATAAGGCAAGTATACAATGATCCTACACTTGGATTTTGAGTGACTATGAAATCTTGAACCATGCAAGTCTTAACCATGCAAGTCTTAATAGGATGACAAAAAAATGCATTTTATCTTGTTAAAGAGAAGATATATTCAGCAATCTCTGAAAGGAAAATATGCTTGTTAAGCAGAGTGATGAAAAAAGATAAAGCCACTTTATATTTGTATGGGGTTTTAATACAGTAAATTCAGATATTATATGGGTCATTTTGATAGTCAATGGCCCACCTTAAGCTCACACCACCAATAGGTGGCATATAACCATTACTATGGTTCATACTTTAACACTAATGTGGTGCTACGCCTGTAATCTCAGTGCTTGGGCAGCTGAGGCAAGAGCATCACAAGTTTGAGTCTAACCTGATCACACAACCAAACTGTTTCAAAATAACCAAACTAAAACAAAAAGGTAAACTATTGAAAGTAGACACTGAAAAACTGAGGAATGATAACATTCTCAGGTATAGATCAGTGATAGTATGCTACTGTGCACATTTCTTCTTAAGGATGGTATCAACAAGTTAGCAAACTCATAAAAGCAATGTCAGTCTTTCTTAACTTCTCTTTTCACTCAACTGTTTTGCTTTTGAGTAGCCAAATGCTTGGATGGTAAAGGTATATGCATGTGAATCTGAGTCAGAAAAAAAATAGGCTTTTGAGTAACCTTTGCGTTAACATTAAAGGGGACACAAGAAAAACTAGATGATAACTGAGCCAACTAAGTTTTTGAAAAGCTTATAGCTTCTCTACGGAGACCGGATGTAGAGCTTAGAAGGACAGCACTTGTTTGGTATGTGTGAGGCCCTGGGTTCTATCTCCAGCACTCCAGGAAACAAATCTATGAATACATGGATAAAAGGAGTATCACTGAATGCAAGAGAAAACCAGATAATTTGTGGGCTTAAAATACTATAATAGGTTGCTAGCTGTTGGAATCAATCATTTGTGATCCTCATACAGTCAGAGAGAAACAGATCTCCTATGCATGGAAACTAGCCTGAGAATGGTGGTGGGGTGGGCTGGCACGGAAATCAATGCTGAGAAGCACAGCCGGGCTTGGTGTGCTTCTGGAACACTGCCATGTATCTGAGATGATAACATTTTGGGCCCTATGGTGCTATTTCACTCATCAATGAAGCAGTTGGAGAAATCAAGGATTCCACCATTCTAGCATCTATATTTACTTATTTTTTAATACGATTAAAACCATGCTCAAGAGATTGGCTACTTTATTCCATTAAGGATAGAATCAAAGAGAGCATAGATATATTTTGGCAAATTGATACTACTTGATTTGGTTCAAATAATGTACATGGGGACTCATGGCTTCTCAAAATTGATAACTGAGAGAAAAGAACAGAGGTAGTGTTGAGCTGGTACTTAAGAGTCAGCCACTACTATTTTCCTCCTCCTGTGCAGGTTGCAAGAATTCTGCAATTATATTGATTCCCTATATGAAGTAAGAAGATCACAATTAGAAGTCCAACAACATCATTTGCTAACTATCTACCAACCAGTCCCTCACTCTCTACTTAGGGCTCTCACTGCCATAAGGCTCATGTGAAAGTATATGCAAACATTAGCCCATAAAAGTTAATCAATGGATGTGTTGGTAACAATGTAAAACTTTGCTTAGTTAGATAAAAAAGGCAAATTTCTTAAAAAGAATCCTTTATCTATATAAACACCCTTCCTTTACCAGTCTAGAACTCTGAATAGCCTTTCGTATATGCAAAGCATACAAGCAATGCTGGTTTGGTCCTTTCCCTTTCAAAGTTTAAATGTTCTTAATGAAAAAGGATTTTTTTTAAAATGAAAAGCCTATGTCCTTTCAGAGACTCTGAAATCAAAATTGCCTTTACACGTCACTAAAATATATGGAGGCAGTGACAAACTCTAATACCACAGCAAATTAATGAGGGCAGGGATTTGAAGGAATGATTTCTAAGTGCTTTTAAGTCTCCCTTGTGCTGATTGGACAAACAATGCTCAGACAGGAAATAATTTCCCTATGAATAATCCATATATGCAGCTTAAAACGAGGGTGGTCTCCAGCTTGCAAATAATAAACTGCCTAGTGGGAAGTTGATTTTTATGTTTATTTGTAGTGTGAGGGAATGTAATTATCTAGAGCTATATCATCCAAATACAGAAACAAAAACAAGAAGTTAAAAAAATCCACTACTAAAAATTTCTTGATAGCAGCCTGTTACACATTTACTTGTAGCTTACTTGTTCAATAAAAATCTTTATTTCTGAGATGAAGAAATGAACTTTATGCAGATAACTATGAAAAAGAAAAAATGGTTCATAGTTGTA